TTCTGCGACATTACTCGTTCGTCAGAAGGAGGAGACCTCTCTCCAAATTTCCTCGCTGTCGACCATGCGTCGGACGATAGTCGACAGCGAGAAATCTCCGTCCAACACTGGGACGAGGACCCCGCGCTCCACAACCCAAGCATCACACTCTTCAAGTGTGTGCTGCGCGGAGTCTTCGTCCGCCGCACAGTGCGGGCACCGTGCCGTGCGCTCCCTTCCGATCCTGTGCAAGTACCGGCCAAAACATCCGCCCGTCAGTACCTGCACAAGACGGAAGGATAAGCCCCCGTGGGCCCTGCCGAGCCAATCCTCCAAGCAGGGCCGAATGGCTTCTACCGTCCGAGCACCGGCGACAGTGGGTTCATGGAGACGAGCCTTCCAGCTCTCGATAACCCACTGTCGCACCTTCAATCTCAGAGGTTCCATGATCCTGGCAGTTGGGACGACACCCTGCTCCTTGACCTGGCGGACATGCCGATATACTTCGGCGTGCCCTAATGCCAGAAGGTCAAGGGGGGGTGTTCCCGCCAGGACCGTGGCCGCCGCATGCGACACCGTCCTATAGGCCCGGGCGAGGCGCAGCGTGATTCTGCGCTGCGCCTGCCACATCCGGCGGAGACATCACTGATCCTCCGCCAGGCTCCGGGCCCATATTGATGACCCATACAGGGCCACCGCATGGACGGTGTTCGCATACAGGCACCTAACCTTGGCGCCCGGACCTCCCAAGTTGGATAGGAGGCGGCTCAGCTTGTTAGCCTCCGCCTCCACCCGGGGGTCAAGAGATCAAAGTGTCTCCTGAACCCCCACCGGCAATCCGAGGTGAGACCGAAATACTTAAGGTGTGGTCCCACCTCCACGGGAACTTTGCCGATCAGCACCCTCGCGGGGGCGGCGGCTCACGGAGACCATCGTGAACGAACATGGCCTCCGTTTTTTGGGCCGCCACTTCCAACCCCATGGCGCTGATCGCGCGCATGGCACTGGCGACGGCCTCATTCGCCGCCGCCAGGGCACTCCCCCAGTCATCCCCCCCAGCCACCACGAGCGTGTCATCCGCGTAACAGATGACGTGGCAGCCAAGGGGGAGGGCAAGCCTTAACACCCTATTGAACGCGAGGTTCCATAGCAGTGGCCCCAGTACGGACTCCTGCGGAATCCCGCGCGTAACATCCCTGCGGTGCTGGAGTCCGTCAGCGTCGACATATTCCAGCACCCTGTCCCGGAAATAGCCACTCAGGACTTCCTGCAGATATAAAGGGAGGTGGTGGTACTGAGCCGCCTCCCTTATCCTGTCTCAGGGGAGGGAGTTGAACGCATTGGATATGTCTAGAGACACCAAAAGCGCAACTCCTCCCCAGCAGTTATGGCCTCCGTGAGGGTTTTAACGCGGTCGATCGCGTCGATCGTCGACCGCCCCCCACGGAAGCCATACTGCTCCTCTGAGATATTGTGGCTATCCCGTGACAGATGCTGGACAACGCGGGCCGCTATAATTCGCTCAAAGAGCTTTCCCGCGTCGTCCAGCAAGCAGATTGGCCTATGCGCCGAAGGGGTGTCTAAAGGCTTGCCCTCTTTATGGAGGAGGATCAGACTGGCCCTCCTCCATATCTGGGGGAATGCCCCATGTTCGAGGCACCTGCTGTACAGGTGCCTCAGGGGAGCACCAACCACGTTCAAGACCGAGGCCCATATTCGGCCCGGAATATCATCCTTGCCAGGGGCTCTGAGGCGGCCGAGCTTCTTGGTCCTCCGCGTCCACCAGTACGTAGCCTGCCGCCGAATCGGCTGAGAGCGTGGCATGGATGCATCGCAGGCATCTGCGACGATGCCCATCACGCTCTCGGCTTCCTCCTCAATGTCCGCGGCCTGGCGGTTGCCTTGCCAAGTGGCCGCGAACACCGCCGCCCTTAGGCGGTCGGTGTCTATCCTCTTGAGGACCCATGGAGTGAACCACTCCCCCTCACCTTTTTTGGCGCTCTTGAGCGCGCTAACGGCCCGTGGCACAACGGCACTGGGCGTTGGAATCACCACGGGAGGGGGGAGGGGCCTGGCCCCTCTTCCTCTGGGCTGCCAGGCACCCTTTACCCCCCACACGGTGGTCGGCGCCGCGGCCGGCATCGCGGCATACGGGGCACCCCACCTTACTTTTACATTGGCTGGCGCGGTGGCCAGCCTCATCGCAGCGGTAACATACCCCGCTGCGGTCCTCCGCATTGGGCCAGTTCTGGCGGACGTGACCCATTCCCAAGCATTTGTAGCACTGAAGGGGTCGCGCCGCCAGAAGCTCTACCCGGGCAACCGCCCAGCCCACAGTCAGCCGTCCCTCCGCTGCCAGAGCATTGGCGGGACGAATGGGGCAGCGCATCCAGCAAATCCCGAGGCCGCCGGGTGCGCGCCTCACCTCGCCGACTCTAACGAGGGACCTATCCAGGACGCGATAGCTCCCGCCACTTCCTCCGGGGTGACCGAGTCGTCTAGGTCCTTGACCCTCAACTCGGCAGTTTTCTCCGGCCGCTGGACTTTAACGTCGTCGCGACCGGCCAGAACCTCCCTCATTCTTTGGGCCAAGACGTCCGCCTTGGCCTTCCCGTCTTGTCCGGGGACCTTTAAATTAGGGCCCCGGTCACCACTCTTCTCGGGTATA